TTAAGAGAAGAAATCACAGATATCGAACACTTTGTAGTAAATCTTACAACAAAAGAACTACAACAAATTCTTGTTCATCAAGGAACATTTACTGGAAATAAGAAATTAACAAACATTACAAAATCTAAAGAATTAAAAAACTCTACAGCAACTGTAATAGAAAAAGATTATTATATTCTAATATTCTTTGACAACTTTGATTATTCAAACAATAAAGCAAAAATAAAGATCTGGCACGAATTTTCATATGTTCAAGGAAATAATAAAGTATACTACAAATGAACCAAGAAATATCAACAAGCCAATATTGTACAAGTTGTAAAACCATATTAGAATATCCAGAATCATTTAAAGAATCATCAAGAAAAGTATATAAAACTTGCAATAATTGCAGATTGAAAAGAAAAGAATGAAAAACATATTCTAAAAGAAACCCTAAAGAAAAACTAAGAAGAATTCAAAATTCACCAAAAAAGCAACGTTGTTCAAGGTGTAAAAGAACACAAAAACAAGAAGAATTTGGATACACTTCTATAGGAAAGGCATTCAAAACTTGTAAAAGTTGTAGACAACGAGCAGAAAATAAAGGATATAACTCAACACAATATTGAATAGAATTACAAGTACGAAAGATCATTGAAGAAATAAATCAATAAATCCAAAACGAAATTCAAAATGGAACCAATATCAACATCAATTCCGAGTATATCAGAATGGATATGGAAATGCAAAAATTGTAAAGAATATATAACTTTCCATGATTACAAAGAAACATATGACGATAATAAAACTGAATATTTTGATAACTATAGAAAATGTAGAAATCTTCAGTTAATAATGGATTCACTAATACAAAACATAAATTTACCACTACGAAGAATAGTACAATTAGCTTTATTCAAGAAAGAAGACGGGAAAACAAAAATATGTTTATCCTTACGAAACAACCCTCAAAACCCATATTATCTTCATAACCAAGGAATGGGAGGAAAAAGAAATTTAGATGAAAATGGAAAGACATGCGAAACTGCAAAGGCAACCATACTCTGAGAAATCTTTGAAGAAGCTAATATTGTATTAAACGATGCCAAATTAATAAACATTTGGTCAGAAACAGCATTAAGTACTATGGAATGGACTTCACAAAGAAATTGTCTGACCTTAGAAGCAAAATACAGAATCGAAAGAACAGTATTCATATATCTGGCAGACAAATATATGATACCAGAACAAACGGAACCAGATAAAGCAGAACCATGACAATGGTATATATATGAAGAAACTATATAATTACTATTGATATCTATGTTTCAACAAAATATAGATTTAATATTTGCAGAAATAAAAGCATACTACCAAGAAGAATATCAAGAATACTATTTATTGATACCTAATGTAAAATATCTATATTTGGATATTGAAACATTAGAAAATAAAGAAGAACTTAAAGAAACACTGATAATAATGGAAGAAGAATTTAAAAATCATAACAAACAACCAGAATAGACTACAAGAATAGACATTCTACGATTCGAAAACTATAAAGAAATATTAGAAGAAGCTATTAAGAAATACAAGAAACAACTTCGAAGAGTAGATAAAATAATTAACGACCATTACGATATAAAATACTTATCTATATTTGAACCAAAAGATAGGTTAAAAGTAGTAACAGCAGTAGAAAAAATACCTATGTTATACAAATTATGAATATGACCAGAAATATGATGCAAGATACCAAACCATATCTACTCTTACGAAATAGATAAATTTACTCAGAAAGGAAATGAATACTCCACAATAAAAATCAGAAGATTACGACCTACACAATATATTGTAGATCTAGAAACACAATTAATGGCAACAATAGAATATTTCTATGATAACTATTGTCATCATATGATGATCTGATGAAAATCTTGTCAGACGCAAAGAAAATCTTGAAACGAAATAATTTATCTATTCTTAGAAATTACCTAAAAAATCTCTGGGTAGACGTTGATCAATACATAAGCCGCGTTACTGTTACTTATAAATCAAATAAGTTGACTTACCTCAATTTTATATGTAAATTTATATAAAAAAATTACTTAAATTTAATTTTTGTAAAGTATATATATAGTATATTGTAAGTTAAGTTAAAATTTATATTAACACAAAATTACTATAATAAATTCTATTAAAATTAGAATAAAACTCTATATTAAAGTTAGGTTTAGGGTTAGTTTTAGAGTTAAAATTAGGTTTAGAGTTAGGGTTAGAGTTAGATATTAGTAGTATTATAGTAATTTTGAATTAATATAAATTTTAATTTAAGGGTGTGGCGGTTTATGAAGTAGTCTAGTCGTCATCCCACCAAGCAGCAGGTCTAGAGTTCGAATCCCATGGACAATGTTTTTCGAAAAATAAATCTGTATTAGATAATGATTATCCATTGATTGGTTAGATCTACAATCTGTAATCTTGGTTGTACCATCTCATTATGGAAGCTTCGGCACAGAAATGCCAAGAAACTGGGATGATCGAAACCTGTTTGGGAAGACCCGAGTAAGGAGGTAGTGATACTTTCGATGGTGCTACAGGAAGGCTAAATTTAGAAGTAATAGCCAAGATTAGAGTTACTACCTTACTATGTTTTTATATCTGGATTTATTTTATATCCGGATTATATCTGGATAATATTACTATGTTTTACTATAAATTTTTAGCAAAATATCAATCTGGATATATTTATATCCGAATTGAAGTACTAACTCTATATCGACATATCTACAAAATTCTGATGCATCAATAGGATTACAGAGAAATAAATAGCGAATTGCTGAGATAAGGTTTTGGGTGTTGATGGGAGCCATGGTTTTGCTTCAGGTAGATTAAAGTAGTTTGGGGTATTCTTTCTATGATGTAGTATTTGAATGGTATTCGAAGAGAAATAGTAGTCTGGCCTGCTTTGTAATTGGAAAGAGGTCTCTAATTTCAATATAAAGGTTAGCCAGATCATCTAGGAGTAGTTCAAGAACTGTAAGGAAATAGCTGTCAGGAAGTTTGTCAAAGGTAAAAATTTTTCGTAAAGCCAACACTGTAGCTCGGGTAAGTTTATAGTCTCTGATTGGTAATGGAAAGGTGAGAATTTGTTGGATTAGCAGTTCTATTTCAAGTGGGTCTGGTGGTAGAGGAATGAGTAAGGTCGAGTATACTTCGTTGATCAAGCTACTAAGTTCTTTAAAGCTGAGTTGGCAGTTTATTTGTACAAAGTTAAGGCAATACATAATAATTCAAGTGCAGTTATGTGGACTGTTGGTAAGAAAGTCTGTATTGCATATGAAGTCGATGGCTAGTTTGGCTTTGAGTTTAGCAAAGATTTGATCCCTATTGAATTTGTTTATAAAGTGGACATTATGCAGTTTTTTATATTTTTCTATTGCTATTTGTAGAAGTGAGTTGAATTCTTTCTGGTGTAGTGGTTGTGTTTTTTTATTTTTTGTGAAGGATCGAAAAAAGGCTGAGTCAAGGTACTTGAATTTTGTTTTAATTACATTTGGTAGGTTGTGTTGGGTTGGATTAGTTTGGATTTTGTGTTGAAAAAATTTTAGAAGAAGCTTTGATGATGAGAAAGTATTGATAATGGTATTGTTATTTCAGATTGCTATGTCAAATTCCTGTGTACGGGCTTTTGCTAGTGCAATAGTGACTAAATTACACCAGGTGAGTGAATGGTCATCTTTAATATTTTTCTTTTTAGATAGATTGGAAGTGAGTGCACTGCTATATGATTTCTTTGGAGATGTGAGTGATTTGATAGTTGCATTGGATTGGATATCCATCTGGTCGTCTAACTCTTTGTTTGATTGGGTTTGTTGTATAAGCTTGAAGAGGGTCGATTGTTTTGGATCTGAGTTCCAGAAGTTATCTTGGTTAAGGTCTAAAAATGGATCGGGTGTGTTGTGATAATCAATTACTATAGCTACAGTCTAGGATCTTAGGTTGTATGTATTATTTCTCATGCTTGTTTGTTTGTTTATATTAATTCTCATGCTATTTTGTTTGTTTG